TCCGGGCCAGCCACAAAAAAAAAAAAAAAAACAAAAAACTATTCTCCATCAAAATTTACCAAAACACAGCATCTTGTTCATCACGTCAACCTGGAGCTGAAACACCAATAATGCCAGCATCTCTAGTAAGTGCCACATTACTGGAATTATCAGTATCAAAATTGATAATATGGCATGCTCAAATTGTTATGGATACAAACAAAAACCAAATGGACAACTAAAGAGCCTCATCTGCTCAGGCAAGGCACATGAAAAACACCAGCCGAGAGAAAGCGCTGGCCTGGAACTGGGATGAGGGTTGGCATGTGATGTCTGCAAGAGCACAGATGGACAGCGTGGTGAGCATGTGGTGGGCAAAGATGCCCTCTGATTCACACACAGCTTTTTTGGGGTGTACGTGGTAGACTCTGGCAGCTCTGGCCAGCGAACGTTTCGTCTGGCCGCAGCGTGCAAGAGGAGAGAGGGTAGATGAGAAAGGTGCCCGGAGCCAGGAGCCAGGGCACCTCCAGCTTGCATCCTAACTGCTCTGAATGGCTGCCTAACTGAGACTAACGACCAGAGGAGCTTCAGAAATAATTTTCTGTTGATCTGAAGTAAATTCTCTACAAGAGAGCAGTACATCCAATCACCAACTGTCTGTCTGCATCCTGGCCCTCATAAATCAGAGTTTACGGAGGGAGAGTGGAAGGTACTGAAATTTACAATGAGAGCGCAGTGGGCAATTTACTTAGGCGGGCACGCTGCCACCCCTGTTCGATGCTTCCCTCTCATTCCAGGCCCCAAATTAAAATGAAGGCATCGGGGGTGCTCACTGTGGACCAAGACTGATAAAGCATCGCTTCTGATAGGACCTCTAGACTGTTAAATGGCACAGTGCAGAGGACCAAGCTTTCAGGCTATCGTGTGCTCCCAGCAGCTGCCTCTAGTATCAGCGTATGGCATTAGCAGGAGGTCTTCGAAAGGATGGCGGTGCCACGTCAACCTTTCCTGAAATTGGCTTTTGGAGGCCAGGTTTGTCTGCAAACACAGATTTTCTTTTGCTGTACTTGATAAAATACTCTACTCTCAGCACAAAATAGACCTTCCTGGTGCTGCTGGCATGTTTCACTGGAAATCCATGTGTATTAGGGGGTGAAAACTGTCAGGGCAGAGCATCGAGTGCCGGGGGAGCTCCACTGAGGGCAGGTGTCACTGGCTGATGAAACAATAACGGTCCCATCTCACCTCTTGTAGGACCTCTTCTCCTATAGCATTTCTCAAAGACAGGGCTGCAGCATCCCTTGCAGTTTCTAGTGACACAGTGTATGTTTCATAGTGTGGGCAGGCATGGAAAAAGCACAGACCAGACACAGAGAGATGGGGACAATGTGGCCACCCTAGGAGGAAAAAGCTGAGTCTACCTGGAGCTCTGACCTAGACCTTTGCTGCCCACTGCAGCAGAGACACTTCCAATCAGGCCTCGGTGGGAGGCAGTCACCGGCTGAATCCGACTCTGAAAAGCCTGAGCTTCAAAGGTCAATTTCTACGATAAACAATAGACTGTTGCTTGGAACTACAGATATTTGTTTAAATAAAATACAAAAATGAGTTCATTAAGCCCTATTAGCTGGTGAAACAGATAATCATAAATTGTAAATACTATATTGGCAACCACCACTTCGCCATGAAATGTTGGCTCAACTCAAATGACTATGCCCAAGGATTTTTCTCTAAGCTTTATAACAAGAATGGGGTATGTGGTGTGTTCAGAAAGGGCAGGGCAGGGACTAAATGTTCATATCTGTAAAAAGGGATGACCTTCTGTGTCAAAGCTGTCTACGGAGGAGTCTTAGTCAGATTTCTAACACACGACAGGCTATGGAGCTCAAAAGCCAACTGGGCAGATACGATTTATCCACTTCTCTCACACGTGCAGTCCCAGTTCCAAAATCAATGGTAAGTATAGCTCTAATTCAGTCCATGGAATTTGTCCCTGGGGGTGTGAGCTGGAATGTCTTTTTCTTCCAAATCGTAGCCTCCTGCTAAGCTTTTGTATTCCACTCCCCCCCAGTTTGTTTATCCTTCCGTTTATGGTTTAAAGCCATATTAAACTAAACTAAGTTCCTGCTATCTATAACGTTCCTCTTCTGCCTCACCCCCTACCTTTCTTTAATTCCTTCTACTCCAGGCAATGGAAGGTTTTTTGCTTTGTTTGTTGTTTGTTTTTTACATATTTGGAACTTGCAATCCTATACTAAGAAGACTTGAGAATGCACAACAGATCAGGGGGGTTCATTCCAATTTCAATAGTGACGTTTTCCTAGTGCTGGAGTTATTACATTGTTTAAAGTGGGTGTTTCTAAACATAAGCTTCTTGAAGGCAGAGCCAGATTCATAAATTTACTCTTTAAAAGTTAGGGCTAGAGGTGGTATCTGCTCAACGGTGCCCTTGTGTGATGTGATCTAAGTACGCTATTCTATCTAGGGATCTAGTTGACACAGATGATTACAGAACATTTCACAGATTCACAGTTGTGGGGTTGGTGCCAGGTTTGCTGCATAACGGGAGAGAACGGAGGAGTTCAGTGTAGAAACAGAGTTCCTAGACTGAGCCCTGAGGTGCCCAGGACACTGCAGTGACCTCCCAGGAGCACTGCAGGGAAACACATGGATGCTCAATGCCTGTCAGACACCATGTGAGCATCTAGCGGGACGGAGTTCACAGGTTCAAGATGAGAGCCTACCATATGCCTTTGGATGCATCCTAACTTTTCAGAACAGAGTTTTTGGTGTTTGCTATGATAAGAAAATAAGTACCACATGAAAACCAGCATGGACCAGGAAATGAAGGGGGTAGGGTCCAATCTAGTTCCAAGGTTTGAGAAGCCGGGCAGTGCCCCGTGGGTGATACACCCTGTTATGAACTAACAGTGGCTACTGAGGAAGGAAATGCAAATTGTTTTCTTTCAATTAATATGTATTATTTTTTAAATGGCTATTAAGTTGTTAGCACATAAGTACTTAAGTTGTTTGGCCCTCACTACTTAATAAACAGAACTGTTAGGTATTTCTTTGGCCTTGGGGTGCTTTGAGAAACTGCTGAGACACTAAGAGAGCTGTGGATGGGGGAAGGCGAGGATCCTCTGGTGCGGTGTTAGGAGCCCAGTTCATGCCCCATCTGCCACACTGATGAGGTGGAGGAGAGAATGTGGACACCCGGTCCCTGTGCTGGCTTGGTCTCCTGTGGGTGGTGTGATGGTGGGATATTACCACCTGAGTTCAGTATCATCATTGCAAAGATGGGGATTGTAAGATACACCTCGAGCGGTTGCTGAGAAAGTGACACAGGATCCCGCAAAGCTAAGGTGCTTGCAAAGTTCCCAGGGTCGTCCTTGCTGCCACTGTCCAGGGCACTGGTGATGGGAGGGAGGAGCTCGTCAACACTGTAACCAGGCAGCAAGGACCAACCATCCGTTCTTGGTCTCCATGCAGCACATGCCCTGCACCGGCTCCTTGGATACATCCAGAGAGCATGAGTTTGCTTCACAGAACTATAAGCACTCAAGGAATTACACTGGCTACTGTGCGCAGTCTGAGAACATAACCACCAAATGTGTGACAATAAAGCTCTAGCTCCAAAATGACTCACTAGTGCAAGGACAAACAACTCATCCAGAAGTCAGGGGCCACCAGAAACTTTTTTGTAAAGGTTTCAGAAGTCAGGGGCCGCCAGAAACCAATTGTAAACTATCCAGGTAGGAGCCCTTGCTAGAACATGAGATGCCATAGGTAAAGTCCCTAAAGAGTGCTGACATGTGTGCCCAGTCCATGGGTGACCAGGCAATAAGAAGTGGCTTGCTTGAAATTTCATGTAATGTTTACTAAAAGGAAAGAGACTCCTGTTGGTGGCCAAGCCGCTCTGGCCTGGTAGTGGGCCAGCCTCATTAATTAATACAACTTGCTCAATTAATCCTCCCAACAGCCCCATGAGGGGGTTACAATGCCCACAGTTAAAACTAAGGTCTGAGAGGTAAGTTGAGGCTCCCACAGTGACTAAAATAGTGGAACAGAGGCTTCCACTTCCAACTTCATCTGAGGCTAAAACCTATGCTGGTTTTATCAAACCAAGAATTTTTCTTTTCAGACCAAGACATAAATTAAGCTTTAATTTGAAAGACTTTTCAGAAACCTCTTAAAAGCCATTGAAATCCCTAGAATAGGTGAGCTCTTTCCCCCAGAGACACTTTAAACTGCGAGGAGTTTCACTGCTAAAGGGCAGCCACACACAAAACTTCCACCGAGGCAGGGTTTCTGTCTCCACCTGCCTAATCCTTGGTTTCTCACCAGAAGACACTGTGGGGATAGGACAGAATGTGAGATTTGAAGTCAGGACACCCAGATTTTGTCCTGGCCTTGCCACTCACAGCTGTGGGACAAGAGCCAAGACACTAGCATGTAAGGACTGTGGTCACTGCCCTATTGGCAGCATTTTCGGTGTCTGCATGAGTCAGGACACCCAGATTTTGTCCTGGCCTTGCCACTCACAGCTGTGGGACAAGAGCTAAGACACTAGCATGTAAGGACTGTGGTCACTGCCCTATTGGCAGCATTTTCGGTGTCTGCATGTAGTAGGCATTCGATGCATATTTACTGAATAAAGGAAAGATCACCTACCCTCTCTGAGCCTTAATTTCCTCATCTGTAAAATGGACATAATATCAATATTTACCTTACCATGTTTAAGTGAAGATAATAATGAAGTGAGATAAATGCATGTGAACAAATATGTCATCAAACAACTGATCCTCATTAATCAAAGGGACTTTCAAGGTTCATTAATATAATTAATATAAATCTCCAAACTCTCAGGCTGGTGCCTATGCAGCAAAATGCCCCCTAAGCAGGCTGGCTTTCAGTGGTACAGTCCTGCCACATGGCCAGGAAGACATTACAGTTATCCTCAAGAAGGCCACAGGCACAGGTCCACTCTGTCAGCAGTTTTTTTTGAAGATATATCTGCCTCTTTTTGTTAGGGCAAACTTACTTTTTACTTTTTCAGAAGACAGGGACACTTACCTGTAATTATGCCATTTTTCTCCAGGGGCTCCTGCCAGCTGACCTTGAGAGATGTGTCCAGAATCTCTGTGAAACTCAGATGTCCCACAGCTCCTGGTTCTGCCAATTAAAAATAAAGTCATCTGTTAACACAATAACCCTATTCTCTTTTGATCAGATTCATGTGGAAGGTTGTAAATATGGAAGGGAAGTGGTGAGCCAGGGCCAGCAGAAACCTGCAGGAAGCATCAGTAGAAATGCAGAAAAGACAAGGGAACTCAAGACGTTAAAGGTGTCCTAGCTATCATCACATAAATTATTTTACCTGCTTCATCCCAGCCGCACAGAGAATTGAAGTAACTGGCAGCAGGAGGTTCATACACAACTCACTCTCTGTCTTTCTCCTTAATCTAATCTAATTAGAACAATCAGGCTGGCTGGATCCTGAAAAGCAATCATTTGCACTGAGCATCCCTCAACAGGCACTTGCAGCCATGTGTCTGTCTTATGTGGGGGCCATAAGGAGCCTTGCGAAGGCCAGAGAAGGAAGCCTAAGCCCAATGGCAGGGCAAGCCCACACCTGGCCCACAGAGTAAAGCCTGCCCACCTGATCCAGAATTCTAGGCTCCAAACCCCCACTCATCCTCCCGAGGGATTCCAGAGGGACAGGCAGTGGCTTGAGAAAGTCCTAGCAAAAATGGGTTCCTTCCCCTGGAGTTTCTTTGCGCTCTGGCCCTCCTGCTAATATGGGAGGATAAAGTAGCAGAGTTATGGTTACATGCTAGAGTCAGAGCTGGGTTTAAGACCTGACTGCGCTGCTCACGAGCTATGCAATTAAACTCTCAAATCCTTAGTTTGCTCATCTGTGAAATGGGGAAAATAAAAATAATTCTGCAAGGTAATTGTGAAATAAAATTTAATAAAACATGAAAGTGTTAGCATGTCCCTGGCACCATAAAAGTGCCCCATGAACATTAGCTGCTATTATTATGATTAGTTATCAGCAGAAACATCCTATGATCAGAATATAAAGTCATGTTTAAGATTAGATTATTGCCACCCATGAGGTCAAAACATGAGCTAAAAAATCCAAGACCCAGTCCCAGGTCAGTGAAACGATGTGCTCGAGGACACAAGGCCACAAAGCGGCATCCTATGATCAGAATATAAAGTCATGTCTAAGATTAGATTATTGCCACCCATGAGGTCAAAACATGAGCTAAATAATCCAAGACCCAGTCCCAGGTCAGTGAAACGATGTGCTCGAGGACACAAGGCCACAAAGCGCAGAGCTCGGTCCAGCATGTGGACAGATCTCCTGCTTGTTACACAGGGACAGCAGGACAGGGAACAAGTCAACCGCAGGTTGAACAGCCGGGGCATCCAGGGGAGGTTCTGACGCCCTACCTCGTGCTCCAGCTTGCCTTGGTTTAGAACACTTCACTGCTGCTACAGCAGGCCAGCCCACCCTGTGGTGGTTGGGAAGGAAAAGAGGAGCTGTGCAATCTAGAGGTGACTGAGGGGCAAATGTGCTAAGAGGAGGTTCTCATAGATGCCGCTTCCTCCCTGATCTGCTCTTTGCCCCCAGCCTGCCATGGTCTCTCTGCAGCCATAGCTGCTGTGAGGGGCATGGGGAAGGGTGAGGGGAAGAGAACGGTTCTCGACCATTCGCTAAGGCAGGCGCTGTGTGGTGCCTGACAAACAGCTTTCACCAGCAAATACAGCGGGTTTGCTCACATTTGCTCTGCTTCCCCTCCTCTGTTCAGAGCCCTACCGCCTCTCTGACAATGTCCCCCCCATGCCTACTCCTCTCGATACCCAAATTCAGGAAAAATGTAAGGGACAAAGTCAGGAAGGAAGGACAGGAAGAAAGGGCGGTTTGAAGGCAGAATTGCAGACAAAGGGGGAAAAGAAAGAGAAGAAGAGACAAGAACTCCATTCATTTCCACATGTATCAATTAAGTACATACTCCATACCAGGCAGGGACCACCACCAGATTCCTATTGAAAATTCTGTGCCATATGACTCCCCTAGTGAACCTGCTGGATAATGCCACACTGAGATCCTTTTTAGTAGTTAAAAAAAAATGCAATTTTTTTTTTTTTTTTTAGCTTAAAATAGGAGAGCATGAAGTCAAGGGTGTTGGTTGTCCTGCAAGAGAGTCAGATTGTGGGATTCCTGGAGAGAAGCCTCATTCCTGCAAGTCCCTGTTCTGGCTACTGCCAGCCTTGCTTGCACATAGGGCAGATTTTTAGGGTGAATTTAACACCTAATACTCAATTGATACTTGGACACTGCCTTCTAACACAACTTGTAATTTTTTAAAAATAGTAACAGCCTCAAAAAATACACTCATCTGGGTGAAACTTTCAAAAGACTTTTCATGGATAAGCTCAAATGCTCTGACAAATTTCACTTTTCTAGTGTGGAAGACAGTAAAATACAATGGCTGTCAAGACCATCTCATCCTTCCCCAATTGTGAGCTTCCAGAAAAACATTCTGACGGATTTTTGAACTGACTTGTTCTTTTTTCGATCGATGGAGTGGCAAAGAAAGCTTTTTCCTCCTTTTTATATTCTCAGTATCTCTGCTTCCTGGATTCCTGCCCAAATATGCTGTCCTCTTGCTCTGCTGGAACCAGCTGCCAATGTCTAGCCTTAAAATTTATATTCTGTCTCCTCTTTACTGCCCCCTTCCCCAACAAGTTCTTATTTCATTGGAGCTTTGGGAAAGAAGGCCTGCTGGATGTGTAACTAACCATAGCACTAAATGCTTACATTGGAAATGAAGAAAGGCTTCAAATCAAGTCTAAGTACCTACCTCAAAAAATTAGATAAAGGAGGGAAAAATAAACCTAAAGCAAGTAGAAAGAAAGAAATAATAATAAAGAACAAAAATCAGTGAAATTGAAAATAATAGAGAAAATCAATGAAATAAGGTGTTTTTAAAAAAAAATCAATAAAATTGATGAACCTCTAGAAAGAATGACAAAATAAAAAAAAGAAGACACAGATCACTGATATCAAGAATGAAATAGGGCATATAACTAAAGATCCTGTGGCCATTAGAAAGATAATAAGGGAGTACTGTAAACAATTTTACACTCACAATCTGAACAGCAGGACTCACAAATCTGAACTCTTAGACGATCAATTCCTTGGATTCCACAAACTACCAAAACTCAACCATGGTGAAACAGACAACCCTGCTTTGACTGCATTGCACATATTTTGATATGCTGTACTTCATTTTCATTTAGTTTTATGTATTTTAATTTCCTTTGAGACTTCCTCTTTGACCCATGGATTACTTAAAATTTAATTTC